TTACTCTCAGCAAAGGTTCTGCTTTGTGTGCAGCATGTTCAAAATACAGCCAATACGTATGCCCGCTGGCTACAGCAAGTGCAACTTTATCACTGTTGCTCTGCAGTGTGTCAATGAAAAAAAGAAAGTAATTCAAGTTTTGGCATTTATATTACTTTTGTTAATACCAGCCCAAGGCACATTTGTACTCTCTTTCCAATAGTCCCAATTACTTACCTTGTAATGGTGTGTTCTTTACCAAATACTTATAACCATACATATAAAATCTCTTCCTTCAAGGGCCATTTCATTCTATTTAGAAGAATAAATGTGGTGCTTTAACATTATAAGCAATGCTGATCACAGAGCTGCAAATTGATTTCCCAGTTTGCAGGTGCTAGAAATAGAGCATCTGGAAGTTCAGGACAAACGCTCAAGAACCAATCTCTAAATAGTTCAGGACCAAGTATATTTTTTCCCCGTGATTTTAACCAAAATAAAATATCTGGACTGCTTCTGGTATAGTATACACACAGAGTCACTGCACAGCCCCTACAGGAAATCACTCAACTCATGACTTTTCTGCAGTTTACTTAAGCGCTGGCTGCCTGGGGAGCGCTTCTGGGTCGTACGGGCACGAAACGCCTGACATCCTTGCAGGGCCCCATCTTCGCAAGTCTAACACTTCACAGAGGGTTTGAGAAACCTGGTTGTCTGAGTGCAGGAAAGAGCAGTCAAAATCTCTACTGGAATCAAAGGAAGTCCCAAACCTAGAGCAATTAAGCATTTATTGGTGCTTTGAAAGAACCCTGTCTGCAATCACTGTTGTACGATCACGACAGACACTCATCCTATGTGCGTACGCCTCACAAGTACGCAATCTCAACATGCAGAAACCTTTGGCGGGAGAAGGAAGAGGCAAAAGCCCCACCAAAAGAAGCTCTTGCAGTTTTCACACCGGTGGAGAATAAAACCTACCCAGATCGCAAGCTGTACCGCGCGGCCGTCTACCACCATTTTCTTCACTTTAAAGTCAACACCTAAGGCGCAGCGAGAAGGTAAAGGAAGGCTTATCAGAACGAACTGCCGAACGCCCGCCCCGCCGCCGCCCCAC